TGGAGTTTGAACTCAGGGCCTTGTGCTTACTAAGCAGTTATTCTTGAGCCAAGTCCTCAGCCCTTTTGCTTTTTAAATTGTTTATCAGTTGAGGTCTTGTGATTTTGCCCAGGCTAGCCTTGGCCCTCGATCCTCCTACTTATGTCTCCCATGTAGGTGGAGTAATAGGCGTTAGTCATAGTGCCCTGCTGTCCGTCTTTTATAAATGTGGAAACTGAGACTCAAAGAAGTTTTACCTGGAGTCATATAATTAAATGGCGGAAATGGAATTCAAAGTCAGGTCTGTCTGATGTACCCATGTTACTAGAGTTGGCAGTGCCCTTGCACGGCATCTACTTCATTACAGGCTAGTTTAGAAGTTTGAGCATCCCTGCTCAAGCAGGAATCCTCCTTGTTTTTTCGACATGCTAGCTCCGCCCTCATCTTGCAGGGAACACAGTTCTGAAAAGATCAGTTGACTAGTCTGCTTCTCCCACAGGTCTAAGCACCTTGAGGGCAGGGTAGGTCCTTGCTCAATCCTGGGCCCCCACACCAGGATTAAGCACACAGCAGGTGCTTAAAGAACAATGTTGTGTGGGGTTCAGCTGTCTGACTATGGTCCTCTCCCTCTCCAGACGGCCAGCCCTACAAGGAATGACCCTTCTTATTGTGTCTTCCCTTCTCTCCCCCACTCAAATGGCAGCTCCAGGAAGGCAGGGCTGTCTTCTTTGTTCACTGCTCAAGGTCAAGAATAGGGCTTGGAATGTAGAAGGGGCTCTGAGAATGTCTGCTGACTCACCAAAGTACTTGCTGAATGAACGAATGAGTCAAGATTTCTTCCCCCTTTCTCTTCTCCTCTGATGAAGCTTTTTCCCTGTAGTACCTGAAGAATGTTCTAGAGAATCATCCTCTCCCTCATCCCAGGCCTCTTCAGTCAGGCCCTAAGCAGAGCCGGGGGAGGGAGGAAGGCAAGATCTGGTCCCTGTTCTCAGGGACCTTCTTGTTCTGTGTAGCATTTTCAAGCTGCAGGTCACAGGCAAAATCAATGGGGTACACTGCAGTTAGCAATAACAAAGAGACAGGATTGAATAGATCAGAAAGTACCAGAATGAGTCCACTGCAGAAAGGCTGAACTTTGTTCTAGTGAAACACACACATTCACACATCTGTGTAGCCAGTCCCAGGGTAAAGCATATTTTTTACTTTGGGTCTTGGTCAAAAAAGTCTGAATGGCTGGGGGTGTGACTCAGTGGAAGAGTGATTGCCTAGCATGCTTGATCCCCAGTACTGCAAAAAGGAAAAGAAAAAAAAAAAAAACTTGAACTTAAATTTGGAATAGTTTGAATTTATGAGTGAATTTGGGAGGTAGGAGATGTGGTGCTCCATGGACTTAGATCCAATGGAGGTTATGTCTGTACAATTACCAATCCTGCAGATAATGATGGTGTCAATTACTGAGCATGTGTCCAGTGCCAGGCAGGGGGTTCTGGTCCCAGAGCCTTGCAGGGAAGCAAGGTGGAGCAGTCAGAGCAACCAGAGATCCCATGGGCAGGCAAAGGAAGTGTCAGGGAGGACTCCCTGGAGGAAGAGGAAGAGGAAGAGAAAGGGAGGGGGAGGAGAAGGAGGAGGATTTCTCTGCTTCCAGAAATCCTCTGCCCTGGCTAGATTGGGCTTTGGTGTCAATACAATGACACTAAAGCTGCCACCAGTAAGTACTGGCTGAGCGCCAGGCACCCCTTTAATCCTCCAGACATTCCCAGGAAGTGAGAGCTGCTCCTCCAGCCATTTTAGAATTGTGTAGACTGGAAGAACTATGGTAACATGTAGAGTAAGGGCCCTGCGGCGGGAGAGCTTCCAAGGCTAGATCCAGGCCCAGGTCTGCCCAGCTCAAAGCCCATGTCTTTAGTTCCTGGACTGCACACAGAAGGGGATGCTGAGTGAGCTATGGGACTGGATCCTGGAGATGGGCAGTGGATCTGCATGGGAGGATGGCCAGGCAGCCAGGTACCCACCTGGGTTTGGCTAGGATCAATTACTCAAGGCTTGGAGACTCCCAGACTTCGGGGAAAGCTGCTAACACACACTCTGGAGGATCCTGTGGGCTCCATCCTTGGCTCCATCCTTGGCAGTAATGTGGTCACAAGGAGCAAGGCCAGGGAGGCCCCTGCTTTTGACCCAGCCCATTTCTTGGGCCTTGTGTCCCCAGCCACAGCAAGCTTGGCAGGGAGTGGGGAGTTGAGAAGAGCAGTAGGGCCTGTTTCTTGTCTTTGTCAAGTCTCATCTTGACTGATTTGGACCTAGCTCCTCTTGTCTTCCAGCGAGTCATTTGTGCCTGTCAGGAAATAACTCTCAGCTTGAGTGTTCCCATGAGAATCTGGGGTTCCCACAACTTATGTTTCTGCTGAAGGACTGAATTTAGGAGCTCTCTCCCAAGAGCACTAGCACCTGGGTTGAGCCGAGGGGTGTGAATGGCCACACCCAGGCATCCCTTCCAGAAGTGTGAGTACTGAGGTCGCTCGTTATTCATCTGACTTTGTACTGTGGTGGGATGCTTTGTGTGGGCTACGTGTACCCCCACCCCACATGTGTATATCCACACTCATTCCCACTGACCTTTTCACAAACATGCAATCCCTCATTCATGCACTTCCCTGCAAGAGTTCCTGCACGAGCAACACAAGCACAGCCTGTATACACATGTTCAACACAAGCACACATTTGTGCAGGGTCATCCCCATCCTGGCCTTCTCTAGGTGACAAGGTAGTGTCTCAGTGCTTGAGTGAGCAGGATGTGGGGGCTGCCGAGTGAATGGTGATAGGTCCTGAGACCTCTGCTTTTTGACATCTTGTTCTGGGACTCATGGATCCTCTCTCAGGGGATTTTTGGGCTTTGCTCTGAGCACCTGCCCTGCATCTTAGGAGCTCCAGATGCAGTTTGATAGATTCACATTGGCTCTGGTAAGGCCAGGAGAGAGGACAGTATGCTTTCTTGATGCACACAGGGTGCTCTGTGTCTTCTCTCCCTCATCATTTGGTTCTCCCTCCTGGGTCCAGGGTGGGACATATGTGGTCCTGAAGGCTTTCTTATGACTGTGGGGACTCCTACCCTACCCATAGCTGGGGCTTCAGGACTTGCTGCTCTGAGCAGGTACTTGGCAGACCCTCTGGGGATTGGGGATTGGAGAGGATTGGGGAGATAAGGCTGTGGTTTCATTGCAGTCTGGCCTGTCCCTGAGACACCTCTGAGCCCCTAGCCCCCTAAATCTGGGGCCTGTCAGCTGAGTCTTGAGGCTGTGGGTGGAGCCAAAAGGGTTGTGATGGTTGGTGGTCCTGAAGTAGGCTGCCCTGGGCTTTTCTGCTGGATTCAACAAGAACACCTACTATGTGCATGGTGAATACAAAAGAATGAATGAAGATGTGCCAGGCATGTGCTGGGGGCCAAAATATGTTTTTATTCTCCAGGAGCTCAGGGTATAGTCAGCCACCCATGGCTCCAGCCATCTGCTGGACAGTGTGTGTGTGTGGCACTGTGTGTGCTTGTGGATGTGCATGAGGATGTGCTGTGCATGTGTGCGCACGTGCACATATTGTAGGCATTCGTAGTCTTACCTTCTTCCTGGGTGTCTAGAACACACCATCAGGATGATAAGAGCATTAGGTGAGGAATCTGATGGAGTAGGATATGGGGCTACAGCAAGAGGAAGAAGGAGGGAATCCGGCCCAAAGATGGAGTCTGCATCCTGGGTGGGGTAGCAGGAGGCCTGAGCCAGGTCAAGTGGTCCCTGGGCCTCAGTTTCCTCATTCATTAAATTAGGGCTAATCCAAATTCTTACCTCCTAAAATGAGCCAGGTGAAACACTTGAGACCTAGGCGCTCAGGCCTGGGTAGACCAGTCCTATCTCTTATCATTGGTTGTTCCTAGGGGCTGCGAGTCCCTCTCTCGGGTTCTGGTCTGATTTGGCCCTGCGCTGCCTTCATTCTGGTGCATCAGGCTCCTCAAAGCGCACTACTCCCCCTTTAGCTCTGATTGGGGTTTTGATTGGGGGTGAGGCAGGTAGTGACAGGTGAGGAAGGATTTCCCCAGTGTGGAGCAAGGAGAGGGAGGAAGTGACTCACCATACACAACAAAGCGGGTCTCCAGAAGAGGAAGCCGCGGTAAAAGTGAGTGAGTGCACGTGGGTGCCCGCGGGGGTACGTGAACCAAGGGACGCATAGGACGAGGGGCCCGTCCGGGTGTTTTGAAGCTCAGTGCTAACCAGAGCGGCGAGGTTAGGCAGGCAGGCTCCACCCGGGACATTACTGCTCAGGGGAACCGGGTGGGTGCGGAGGGACCCCTCCTATTCGGAAGTTTCTCTTTCTCCTCTGGGCTCTGAGGGGTTTGTTTTCCTTAGAGTCCAGTGCCTAGGAGAAGCCCAAGATTGAGCTGACAGTCTACTCATTAGGGGCTCGTCCTCGGACACATGGGGAAGCTCGAGCCCAGAGACGTCAATCGCCCAGCTCAGGCCGCACAGCACAGGGAGGCTGGTTCTGGAGCCCGGATGCTCATCTCGGTCCCGCCGAGGCTCGACCTGGCAGAGAGGGTCAAGGGGAGCCCGGGCCCGCCGATCTCCCGGGGAGCTGGAGTTTGGGAGGGGGTGTGGCGCCCATAGCTTTTGCTTCTTTCTCAAGCCGGGGAGGCTTAATGTCTGGCTTGGGTATCTCCCAGAACCAACCGAGCTCATGCTAAGGGAAGAGGAACTGCCTTCCCAGACAGTCTCCCCCGCCCCAAACTTTTCCTCCTGGCGGAGGGTGGGCGGGTTCAGGGAGGAAGCGGGTGGGAAAGTGGGGTCCGCCCGGAGCCGCGGCTCCCGGATGTCCATCGCTACCCGGCTTGTGTGAGTGTGTCTTTAAATCCGAGCCCCCCGCCCCCTCGGCGGAGGGGCGCGGGCTCCCCCGGACCGGGCAGCGGCGGGCGCGGTGATTGGCGGCCGGGCCAGGTCCGCCCCCGGCGTGGGGCACGCGGGCGCGGGGCAGCGGCGCGGCGCGCACTGGGCGCAGAGCTCCCGTCGCGGACGAGTGCGGGCTCAGCAGTCGCGGTCAGGCCTGGTCTGCCCGGCCTGCCCGCCGCGGGAGCCGCTTCCGCCCACGGATGGGCTGGAGAAGTTGGGAGGAGCGAGCCGGAGCCCGCGTCGGGCGCGCCCCGCCGCTGCCTGACTCGGCGCCCGCACTCCGGGCGCAGCGCTCCGGCCGCCGGAGCACGGATGTCCCCTGGAGCCGCGGGCTGGCAGGTACCGATGGGTCCCCGCCCGGGGCTGGCCAGAGGAGGGTAGATCCCGAGGCGTCCACCCCCTAACCCCATCCCCGGAGAAAAGAGGTCCTGGGCTGCCACCAAGCCCGCTTGGGTTGGCGCCTCCGAGGAAAGCCGGACCTCATTAAAGAGCTAGTGGATAACGGGTGGTTATGAACTCAGGGCTGAGCCCGTCTCAAGGTGTCCCTTGGATTGGGGTTGATAGGGGCTGGCGACACCACTGCTCTTCATTGTAGGCCTGAAGAAGGACTGCCTGCGAAGTCCAGAGATGGGCTCCCCAGAAGCTAGGAAAAGTCCAGAGGCCCTAGTGCGCACAAGTTTGATTCTTGGCCCTGACTGGCCCTCTTCCTCTGAGGGCCTGGGTCTCCTGGCAGCAGGCCATTTTTCAACTTCATAGGGTTTTCCTGATGTGGCAGGGACCTGTCAGAGTTTGGTGAGTGGGAGAGAGACTGAACCCCTCTCCTTAAAGTGGCAGGGGTTGGTTGGAGAGCCAGGGATGGAAGAGAAGTCTCCTGACCTCAGCAAGCTTGGGACATTTCTGCTCTTCCAACCAGAGACCAGGCAGCAGCTCTCTGGCTTTCCCACAGAGCACCTGTCGGATTCCAGGCTCTGGGCCACACCCAGAGGGTGTGGGTGGTGGGTGGATCAGAGGGTCTGTCCTCCAGTGGCTCACACAGAAAGTCTTTGATAAAGAGTTTTGATGCCAGCGTGAGACTGGTAACAGTAGAAATGCCAAGAGACTACATAGGCAAGGGGCGCTGTTACATGAGTGACCCAAGCTTCGATATGGCTGCAGTACTGGGGTTCATTTTTCATGCTGCCATGCCAGTGGGCTTCAGCGTCCTGGCTGCATCCGCATCCTCCCTACTAGCCAGCTAGTCAGCAGGATCTCACTCCAGTCACCTGACTGGCAAGGGCTGCAGCCTCAGGAGGGCTGGGGAGGTCCTTCTGTCTGTGCATGTCCCACCCCTCCCACTCCCAGATTTGGTTTTGTTTTGGGGTCTAGAACACACATTTATTTTTCTCTGGTCAGACTGAGTGCAGATGGCTGCCTGGGGTTCTTGAGGTTTGGGGTTTAGAGCCAGCCCTGTAGGAGGCTCAGAAGCAAGGGGGAGGAAGTCCTTACTTCCTTTCTGAAGGGCCTCTATTGCTGGGGGGTGGGGGGAGCTTGGGAGGCGCTGGGCCAGACGCGGTTTCCTGTGAGTGCAGACAGTCCTGAGGTGGTGGGGTGCATTCCCTTTCCTGGGGTTGGGGTGGGCAGGGTGGGGTCTGGGGCAGCTCTAACATCACCTCTGTGAGGTTCTGATGTATCTGGACTTTGCCCCTCGTCCATCGTCCCTGGCAGGTTTCTTCTTTTCTGGAACACTTTGCGGAGGTGGCAGCGCACATGTGCCTGTGGCCTTGGGTGCTGTTCAGGGAGTGGGAGTCACTGAGCTCATGGAAGCCCATCGCCAGCACTGTGGTAACCCACCCACCCATCTCCAACAGGTGCTACTCACATACCCTGGTCTCCCAGGCACAGGTGGGGATGCCTGTGTGACAGAGATGTGTGTGCATGCTTAGGGGACCAGGCACAGGAAGACAGTGTGGTGGGCGAGCAGCACAGGGACAGGTGAACATGTACACATCAACATGAGCCACATGTGGGCCACAGTCAGGTATAGACAGATCTACACTGCTGCTGCGATTTGAATCTACTCACACAGGAGGCAGACATACAGGTGGACCCACTGAAGGGCAGACATGCATGTGAGCAGACATTTGCAGAAAGGGCCACAAAATGGCTCGAGTACCTAGGCAAACATGGAGTCAGACAGGACTCCACTTCAGGGGAAACACTTACCGGGCAGAGGCACCTGACAGTACAGGCCAGGAGCTGGACAGTGGGAGCCACTGTCACCACAGTTTCTCCATGTGGCAGCAGTGCCCAGACATTGTTGTGTTTGGGATGGTGGTGAGGCAGGGGCTCTGTGGTGTGCCTTCATTTCTAGACTCTCACGTTGGAGTTGGTTTAAGGACTCTGGAGGGCTCAGTTTCCTGGTTTATACTGAGAGTCATTTGATCATCTACTTCCTAAGTTACAGGGTCCCATCCATGCCTGGGGCACCAGGCACCAGTATCTTCCATTCTCACCCTCCCTGGGTCTCTGGGAGCCAGGTGGCAGGGGGTGGGGGGGTGATAATTTTTCTTTGCCCCCAGGATAGGGGAGGAGCCTGACTGTGGGATTTTCCTGCTGAACCCAACCAAGCCTGTGGGTCTTTGGCAGGCATGGGGTGATCCCTGGAGACATGAGTGCTATTGCCCCTTGCATGGACTCCTCCTTTCCAAGTCCTGGGCTTGGACAGTGTGTGGGGTCCCCCCCCCCGTCCCCCCCCATCTTCTGGCTGTGGGCGTGGCTTCTCTGCCCAACTTTCAGCTGAGAGCCAGCCTAGATACAGTTTGACATCAGTACCTTGTGTGACCTTCAGCAAGTAACTTAAAGTCTTAATTGCTTCATCTTTAAGCGGGGCCAGAACCCTAGTCCCCTGGGATTGTTGGAGGTGTTAAATGGGAGAAAGTCAGTGGAAAATATGTGGCACTCAGTCAACATGGGGGTGGGGCATTGAACAGGAGCCTCTTCTATGGCCAGGACTCTCCTGAGCTTCCTCAGCAGCCAGGTGTGTGGCCCCGGGGTCTGGGCAAAGGCTCAGGGACTGAGTGGCCCGGCAGCTCTCATTTGAAAGCCTCAGTGCTTTGTCCTCCCTCCTTGCCCACCAGTCCCTCCTAGCCCTGGGGGGACCTCTGAGCAGGGTCAGGAAATGGCAGGCTGGGCGTGTGGAAGTTTGGGCCTGCTGCCTGCTGGGCCTCTGGGAGGGGAGCCAGTGGTTTGCTAAGAATAGCCCCAAATCATGGCTTTCCCCTCCCAGTGGGCAGCCATGCCTCTCCCAGTCCCAGGCCAAGGCCCTTGCAGACAGGCTTTTTATGTTTCCTATAACCGGCACACCGCACAGGGATGGGCCTGGAAGCAGGCGGCTCTTGCTCCCCTTCCTAGGCCTTCATCTGCGATCTGGGAAAGAGAAGATAGGTGAGCACTAGCCTTTGTAATTGCAGAATTCCTGTTCCACTCAGGGCTTGTCCTGACAGCTGTGCCCCTTGCCTCTTTCTACCTCCCAAGAGACCTGTAGTGATTAAGGACACCAGCTCAGAAGCATACTGCCTGGGTTCTGAGTTCCTGTCCCTCTCTTACTGGCTGTGTGGCCCTAGGCAGTGGACTTAACCTCTTTGTACTTCAGTTTCCTGAAGTACAGGTTAGGGATAAAGACTCCCTCATAAGAATGTAGTGTGTAGAGAGCCCTGGAGTGCTATCTGGCTCATAAGGCATACTGGGAACACATTAGGTGCTCCAGTTACTGCCTCAATCAATATTTTCCCAGCCAAGAAGGAACCTGTGACACCAGAGAGGCCAGGATGCTTATACAGTGCCTTGTGGGGAAATAGACCAGAATGGCATCTTTATTTTGGCCCTGGGTTCAGTATGAGGTATAGGGGATCCACACCTCATATGGATTCTATTCTGCTTCTTCCAGGAGGAGAGTGGGGTACATACATGCATTGTACCATACCCCACTGGTGCCCGATGGATGGGCCAGGGTCTGTGCTGCCCAAGGCTGGAGCTGGATGGAAGGCCTGGGGGCAAAGGGCACCTCTTATGGGCTTTGCAGGTAGGTCAGGAGTTTGCAAAGGCAAGGAGAGAAAGCTTCCCTGGAAGATTCGGCAGGGCAGAAGTGTGACAGCCCCAGGTGTTTATATATTTCCTGTAACTGGCCTCTGGATGGCAGTGGCTGTGAGGGGTGCCCTGCCTGGGCTGGAGCTGGGACACTCTGGTGAAAGAGACACTGGGTGTCTGGGCTCACTGCCTGCCCATGGTCCTCCCACAGGCTCTTGGGCTTTGGAAACTGGGTGCATCCCTGTGGGACCTGTGGGTGTCTAGGGAGCCAGGGCTTTTAGGATTTCTGAGAGGAAAGGGTATGGTGCTGGGAGGACTGTGGGTCCCCTGGAGAAATGGCCCCACTTGCCAGGAGACTTGGTTGGGGGCCATGCAGGAGGAGAGTGGTCCTCAGATGACCTGGGACCTGGCCGGCCTCTTGTCCTGCTGAGTCCTGGGTCCTACCAGCCTGCAGGCTGTGCCACCCTGTGCTGCCCCTTCCTGGAGTGGAGGTCAGGGATGCTGGCTGGGCGTTTTGGAAGATCATGTTTGGAAAGCTTAGGGGAACTTCTCCTCCCCTCTTCCTTTTCCTGGAACTGGACAACCTCATGAAAGAGTTACCCTTTCTGTTGCTGGCCACAGGAAGCTGGTGGATGTGTACCTGTGGACTGCTACCCCGTAGTGTCCGAGCTCTTCATCCTGGGACCCCTGAGGTTGGTGTCCACACCTCTACCCTGCAGCGCCACACTCCATCAGAGCCCCAGGGTCCTCACCCATCTGGTTGTGCATGGTGGTTTAGCCTCACTTGGGTGCCTGCTATCTTCACAGCGCTTGGCCTGCCACCTGAGGGAGCCTTATCTGTTGGAGTCTCCCGCAGGTGTGGCTCTGCCTGCCTCACTCCAAGGCCTGTCGGGAAACTGGCGTCTAGAAGCCAGGGAGAGAAGGGCCCCCCAGAATCAGGCTGCAGAGCCCTTGGGGAAGTGTGGAGTGGGTCTCTCCTCCATGGGGCTCTGAATGGGGCCCAAGGCACTAGGGGACAAGCTCTGGGCTGGCATTTGAATGTCCTTTCTGAGCCTAATTTTCTCATCTGCTAAATGGGCATAATAATTTCTCCTGGTCTGCCTTTCAACTAAGGTGAAGTTCACCTGACAAAAACAAGCACTTTATTTATTTTTTACAGTACTATGTCTTGAACTCAGGGCCTACACCTTGAGCCACTTCACCAGCCCTTTTTTGTGATGGGTTTTTTTGCGATAAGGTCTCATGAACTACTTGCCTGGGCTGACATCGAACCA